TGGAAGAAAAGATTTTAAGATTGGAAGTAGCAGAAGTTTTATTGGCATGAGTTAAGGAAGCAGGGAGTTTATCTGTACGAGCAGATTGCGAGGGGGAAGACAATGATGACAACGATACTGCTTTACGGCAAGCAAGCGACGTAGAAGGGATTATTTCACTTGAATCCAATTTTGAGTCCTTAGAGTTGCGAACGATAGCAGGCCAGGGTTTTGAGGCAAGAAAATGAGAAATGATTGGGTGAGAACCAATTTGTAAAATTTTTTTTCTATATCCTTATATGTCATATGTCATGATTACAAAAGGTTATTTGCATATTATTCCCCACAGAAAAAACATCCAAACATTTGAGGAAACAAGTTGTATGATTTATTTGGTTGCAATGGTCTTCAATACAGATTTTGAATAGTTTCTTTCTTCATCTTGTTGTTTAGGAGGTTAAATCATTATGGTTGTTACATTCTGAATACACCATATCTTGTATCCTCTACAGGTCGGTTCATAGAAGCTGAAACGCAGAGGGCCAATAACTTTCCTAGTATCAGCAGGATCGACAATTCCATCGTCCCAGAGCCTTGCTGTGGAGTAATAAGGATTTCCCTCTCTCTCGTACGCCTCTACCACCTTGGCTTTGAACTCTTCCTCTTCTTCTTTTGTCCACTGTAATCCATGTATGTGCAGGCATGGAGAAACATGTATCTGTTATGTGTGCTTGACTTCAGAATATGAATATATATTTTAAGAAGTCGTCAGAAAGTTTACCTTAATTCCTTGCTTTTTCTTGCAGGCTCCTCCAATTTCAGACAGCACACCAGCAGCCTATTATAGCCAGGGTAAAAAATAAACTCAACCTCGAAAAAAATTGTTATAGATTTAACTTTGGATCAATGAGTAGTTCGGGAAATATGGCATCGTCATACAATCACAAGTTCGCAAAACTAATATAAGATTTGGTTGAAGAGGCCACCTGAGCACCACCCATCACAGATATTCTTGCATTTGGCCAAAGGAACATGAAATTGGGGCTATATGCACGACCACACATTGCATAATTCCCAGCACCAAAGCTTCCGCCAACTATAATAGTCACTTTTGGCACCTGTACAGGACTTGATCAGAGAAGGTGCATGATTGAACATAACAAGTGACAGAATATGCCTACAATATAACTGTTTCTTAAAAACAATAAAAATGAAGGCTATTGAGATTTGAGAGAAAGATAAATATGTGAACAATATATTTAAAATTCAATTTTTTTTGGCTCCTAATCAACCATAATAGACTGTTACATCCAAGGAGAGACTTTGAAACCATGGAACACTGATTGCAACTGAAAAGTGAAAACAGTTCAAACAAGGAGACAAGTTAGCAATTAATCATAATATCATTTCACACTGCACAAACAGTCCTCCAGTTATAATGTTGAAAATTCCAATTTTCTTAAGATTTTCAGCCATTTAGTGGTGAGATTTGCTCAAGGCAGTCATAAAGGTATTTGTCTATGTGCATAGGTAAAACAGAAAATGAATATAAAATAAGTCCAGAAAATAAGAAATGGAACCTACCTTTGCACAAGATACCGCCATAACCATTTTTGCTCCAGATTTTGCAATACCATTTGCCTCAGATCTTGAGCCAACCTAAAAGAAAATAATCATGATATGAGTCAAGCAAATTCAGTCTCCTTCAAAGCAGAAGAGAAAATAACTTAGTTGACAAAACCTAGTTAAAAGCACATAATGTAATAACATTTTACTAAATCAGTCTCAAGGACAAGCCTCCTCATGAATGAAAGGATAAAAGCATGTCATAAAGCTTGCATTGAAAAGTTAATAGAAATATATATTTGATCATATACCATAAATCCAGTGATGTTCTGAAGAAAGACCAAAGGAATATTACGCTGAGTACACAGCTCAATGAAATGAGCTCCTTTAAGTGCAGATTCATTAAATAATATGCCATTATTTCCAAGGATCCGCACAGGTTGTCCAAATATTCTCACAAAACCTGTTCAAGAGTCTACAACAATGCAATTGGGGTTACAAAATGTATACTTACAGGAAAATGATTCTGAAAATTAACGAGATATGCATGTCCTCACAGTTCCATACAATTTCTTGAATTCATCAAACTCACTTCCATCAACAATTCGAGCAAAAACTGATCTGATATCAAATTGTTGCTTGTGGTCTACCGGAGCAATTGAACGAAGCTCCTTTACATCAAATAATGGCTCTTTATATTCAAAGTTTATACTTGTTAATGCATTGAACATTCCCTGTTTTCCAGCCAAGTGCAAGTTCTTGATAATATTCCTCCCAATTGCAAGAGCATGAAGTTCATCTACAAGAAGAAACAGAAACATTCATGAATACTAGAATAAAGCTGCAGAATGAAAGAGAGAGGTTGAAAGCATAAGAAAATTCCAAATAGATACAAGCAGAAAAAAGCTAAAAGCCTAATAGTACATGCAAAGTAGCAAAAGACGGCTAAGGACAAACACCTTGAGCAAAATAATCTGAAACCCCTGATGTCTTGCAATGCACAGCAGCACCCCCTAGATCCTCTGCAGAGACTTCTTCTCGAGTAGTAGCCTACAAAACTTCTCGTCAGATACAATCCAACTTCCACAGACACATGAACATTTCTAAATTTGCAAGTAAGGTATTAACACAACAGACTGTTGCTTCATGTCAATTATAAGAACCAAAAGAAAAAAAAAAGGTACTTAAAAACAGAAGAACAATTCTTAGAGACTATTATACAAGCAATTTGAATCTGGAACTGACCTTCACAAGTGGGGGTCCAGCTAGAAATATGGTACCATTTCCTTTGACCATCACACTTTCATCAGCCATTGCAGGAATATAAGCACCCCCAGCAGTGCAGGAACCCAATACCAGCACAATCTGAGGAATACCTTTGGCAGATATTGTGGCTTGATTATAGAAAATTCTACCAAAGTTTTCCCTCTCTGGGAAGACCTCAGCCCACTTTGGAAGAAATGCTCCTCCACTATCTACAAGATATATACACGGCAATCTGCACTGAGCAGCAATCTCTTGCGCCCTGAGATGTTTCTTCACAGTAATGGGATAATAAGTCCCTCCCTTAACAGTAGGGTCATTTGCCACAAGCATGCAAAGCCGTCCGTGAATGAGGCCTATTCCAGTGATTATTCCACCAGATGGTAAGGACTCTCCATACAGTTCATGACCTGCTAGCTTTATCCATTAAATATTCAATGAGGAAGCATAACACGCCGAAACAAGTTCACTAATGTATTTCTTCACAATATTGATGAGGAAGTAGCACACACATCTTGCTACAATTCTGAACAGTAGTCTAATGTTTGCACATTCTCAATTAAAATTTTGAACCTTTCTACCATCAAATCATAGTCAGATGGACCCAAAATCTCTACTTGCTAACCAACTAAACAAACTGAAAGATTGTATTGGCACTTAAAAGGTATTTCTTAATCACAGAGAAATGGAGGAAACCTGAGACAGCTCAA